AATATAGCATCATATAAAATATGTAAAGTATCAAAATATAAAATAATATGTAAATAAATAAAATATGTAAGTAATAAAATATCAAAGCATTTTATAAAACAAAGGTCAAAAGTAAAATTTCATTAAAAAAATTTTTTTAACGTTTATTTTTGAGAGAGAGAGAGACAGAGCATGAGCATGGGAGGGGCAGAGAGAGAGGGAGACACAGAATCCGAAGCAGACTCCAGGCTCCGAGCTGTCAGCACAGAGCCCGACATGGGGCTCGAACCCATGGACTGTGAGATCATGACCTGAGCTGAAGTCAGACCCTTAACCAACAGAGCCACCCGGCCGCCCCTAAAATTTCATCTTTAAAATAAAGCTTTGCAAGATGAAATTTTTGAGATTTTTATATTGGAGCATATTTATCACGAGCATAATAGGACGATGTATCTTGTAAATACGTGTAATAATTTGCCATAAATGAATATAAATGTCTTGGGTGCACCTGCTCCAAAAACTTGTGACAAGTGCATGTTGGAGGTCGGTTGGGGGCCACTGGGCCCCGGAGGGCCCTGCTCTCTGGGCCTGCGGCTCCTGACCTGCGTACATCCTAAGAGCACCCAGTGGCCTGCTGGCCACTGGGTGCTCTGGAAGTATGTACTCCTCCCCCACCCTAGTTCCTTTGTTATTCAGGAAGCTCCCTGAGGACAGGACCCTGTCTTCCTCAGCTGGGTGTGAACTGAGGAAATGCCATCGAATACATGAGCATAGCTGCCGTGTTCAGCTTTATATAAGCCTTTGTGTTGTGAGCACGCCGGCCTTCCCACTCCCGCGTGCCTCCTGGCGGCCAGACGAGGGTGAAAGTCACCTGCCATGGACATGCTGGTGTCTCCTTCCCCTTCAAGTATCATCGTGTCCTGCGCTCTGGACTTCTTGTCTTTGGCTAATAGCCGCAGGTGTTCTGCTTTCTGTCGTGTACTTCTGTTCTGCAGTGGCAGTAGCGACCGGCCGTGTTCCTCCCAAATTAAGTTGAACACAGCTTCCTGGTGCCCGAGACCCCCACGGCCATTTCCTACCTTCCCTGCTGTCGCGGCCCAGCGTTTCGGTGGGTGTCTACCCCCTCCCCAGGTGACTCGGGGCTCACTGCACATTAGGCTGAACTATTGGCGATGGCCCCCAAACCTTTGCCAGTGAGTGCTTTATGTCTGACAGTGGCATGTGGCACAATTCTGGCCAAAGACACAAGAGAGGTCATTGGCTGGGGTCAGCGAAAAAAAGAACTATGAAAAAAAAAAAAAGGAGA